ATATGATGTGGATACTTTTAAAATAGTGTCTTACTTTTAGCAGTCATTAAAGGCATTTTGTAAATTGGCAAATTCTGGAGTCTGCACCCAAGTAGGAGGAATAATGGAACAAACTTAATAAGGAGAACTTGACATGGGACAATCCAGGCTTTGTGGAACCATGTAGGTGTGGAGGCCCTCTTTAAGAAAACATTATTTAGAAAGAAAGTGTTGAGTCCTGATATTTCAGCTTTGTAAGAGTCACACCTCCCACCTAAAAGGTTCTCCTAAGACCAAGCCCCTACCAGTGCTTTCTACACATCAAACCCATCACATAGAGCAGCCCACTTAACCATCACACCAGCCTTCCGAGAGAGGTGCTGTTTCCAGCTTCAGTGTATAACTAAGGAGACCAAGGCCAAGAAAGACTGAGCAACTTTCCCAATGTCACAGTGCTGTGGACAGAGCCAGGATCCAGCCCCAGCAACCTATGTGGCCAATACACAACACAGCCTCCTAAGACCAAGAGAATATTTAAGTCTTACTTCTACCATTTCTCAACATTCATTTTATTCCATCCAAAAATTCCTTAAAAAAGATTTAAAAAGCACAGAAGTAATAGTATTTATTTTAAAGTGAACACAAATTTGGACCTTGACATTGTACAGCAGATACCCCATCATTAGGTCTTATGTTTTCATCCCCAATTGCTCCAATTCAATCCTCCCAAACAAAATGAGCTCCTTCATCAGTCATGGCTAAATGGGTTTTGAGTGGATGAAAGTTATAGCCTCTGGTTTGGGGGTAGGGAGGGTTCTTCAAATCACTAAGTTCAGATCATTTCGAACATCAAACTGGCACTTAACAGGCAACAGCTGAGAATCTGACTTGATTTTATTTTGGAGTAAAATCCTCTCCAAGCTAAGGTATTATTCTATAATTCCTCACATTACCTAGAAGTGTCATCAATAGAAAATAAAGATATTTTTCACATCCTTAAGTAATTCAAAAACATTGGGGACGATCCTTATAATGTGGAGGGCTCAGGAATAAAGTTGCTCACTTTCAATGGGGGCATTAACTTCCTTAAGACCCAGAGGATATCAGCAGTAGTGAAATATATAGGTAATTTAACAAAGGGATCCTGAGAGGTAGAAAGAGTTAACAATGTATTCACCACCAAATGTCATTTAAAACTGAAATTAAAGTCACAAAGAACTGTGCAACCATCCATTAAGCCCATCAAGAATGTTTATCAAATACACTGTTGCACTTCACATACAACACATACACAGCATGGCTACAGCAGTAGAAGTGTTGTATTCCAACAAAGAAGAGAACTCAGAACTGGTTTTTCAGTGATAGCCTTATTTTCAAAGCAATTTAAAAATAGCATAACAATTAAGATCCATTTGTCAAAAGTAGGTAATTGGGACCAAAAAAAAGAGAGTCAGGGAGAAAAGCACTGCCCTCCTAAGTTCTGACTAGGGCTCACACCTAGAAAAATTACCCAGATGACCCGAGCGCACAGTGACTTAGCTCTTTTTTTTTTTTTGACACACTTAATGAGCTTTGGTCTAGAGACCTGCTCCATGAACACTGTGGGGGCACCAAGGAAAAGTCTGCAGGGACTAATAAGGAAGGAAACCCCAAATTCAGGCTCATGGAAGCTTGTCTAAACTGAATAGGCCCTAAATGTAACAGCACCTGAGTCACATCACTCACTAAGGAGCAGAATTTGGAATATAGTGGGTATATTCTGAGCCCCATGAAAAGGCATGTTTTTCAATGATCCAAAAGATTTCCTTGGAGATTCTCTGAGCATCCCTTACTTTCCTCGTTCAAATATTTATTGAACATCTACCACGTGCCAGGCAGTGGGGTAGGAGTTCTATGTAAACTGTCTCTAGTCTGTAACTGTCTTGATCACCCTTCTGACCCAGGACTTTGTTCAGTACGTGGCACATATCAGGTGGCTCAAAAATTAAAGTTATCATCATCACAACTCCTGTTAATGGTAGAGAAGTTCATAGGTGACTGAGTAGCCAACAGTTTTCAGAGGGGGACTCTGCTGTAAGGCTCACGGAATCTGTAAGTCCTGCTCCTGGCGGCTGTCAGCGGCCCAAGTGAAGGTTTAGAGGGGGCAGGACAGAGTGACTGACTCACCAGAGCTTCCTCCCTCACAGTTCTCCACGCAAGTGACAACAGCATGCTACCACGAGGCAAAATGAGCTAACCTGTTAACAGGAAAAGAGTTATGTTACTCATCAGAAACCTACAGTGTGAGTTTTTAAGGGAGGCCTACATATTTCACTAATTGCTTCCCAGTCAACTTACAAAAGGTTTAATTTAAGAGCATGATGGTCTTAACCATGACATCACCAAGTGATAACTCTGCTTGAGGCAATTTTTATTCATCAACTCAAATTTTATCCCCTCCTCTGTGGTATTATTAACTTCGTCTCCTACTTTACAGGTGGAAAAACGAGGTCTCAGACTCCCAGGAGACCCGGGAAGGTGAGCAGTGGACTAGGGACACGTGTGCCAAGCCCAGCAAGAAGTCCTTCTGCAGGAAATGCAGGGAGCTGGGGAAGTCCTGAGAGGAGCAGGCAGGGGAGGGAGAGGGCAGGAGTCGCGGGGCCTACAAATCTTGGGACTTCATAGCCTGGAAAGATGGAGAATGAAAGAGGGAATGATGAAAAGCTATAAAATCATGAGGAGGAAGGAGAGTACAATGAAGTTCACAGAATGATAGGCTAGAACTGGAAAATGGTGAGAAAAATTACCAAGGAGAGAAAAAGACGAAGGCCGAAGTCAGGATGGCTCCGGGCTCAGCTCCACAGTGCTCCACCCAGCCGAGGAAGACGCGTGTCGCTATATGTTTTTACTGACTTCATGGCTAAGCTCTTTCCCACACGATCTCATTTGATCAATAACAGCAGCCCCTCCGGGGACAGTGTTGTTTTCAGAACTGCCCTAATGTATGGTCATTTAAATTCGTGCTTGTGACTGCGTTCCACAAGAATAGCTGGGTTGTTTTCAAGTGTTCATGCTGTCTTCAGATGCATGCTCATGGTTAGTCGGCTGTGTTTACCCATTTCTCTGTTCCTGTTTCACTCTCATTGAATGAGGAGGAACTCTGCCACTTTGAGCAACTGGGCTCACCGAGACTCTCCCCTCTGCCTTCTATTCCCCTCATCTGTTAAGGTCTAAATGTTTGTGTCCCCCGAAGTTTATGTGACGGTATCAGGAGGCGGGGCCTTTGGCAGGGAGCTGAGATGAGGTCATGGGGGTGAAGCCCTCATAAATGGGATCAGCTCCCCGTGAGAGCCGTGAGGAGCTTCCCCTCTGTAGCATGAGGACATAAGGACAAGCCAGCAGCAGGCAGGTCGGAAGAGGCTGTTCACCAGGACCCGACCCTGCTGGCATCTCCGTCTCGGACTCCCAGCCTCCAGAACGGTGAGAAATAAATATCTGTTGTTTATAAGCCACCAAGTGTATGCTGTTTGTTAGAGCAGCCTGAGTTAAGACATCATCTTACAGAAATCTAAGGTCTCAAAAAAAAAAAAAGATAAGAAAAACTCAAACCATCAAGCAAAGAAAGCTTGATGTTTGATGCACATGCATTTCTGTGTGTCCAATAGCAAAGTGCAATGTGGATGGAGCCAAAAGAGGTCTGTGAGAGCTGGAATAAAAAGCTGCAGGTATTTAATAAGATGGTATATACCTATGATAAACAAGCATCTTCACTGTGAAAAGAATTCTAGATGTATACGCCTATCCTGTTAAAAAACAGACATTTGGTCAACAATAAATCCAAGATGAATCAAATTAATGTAACTGCCAGAAAAGATAACGTGACATAGGCATCATTAGCAGCTGTTATACTCTGCATGAAGCGGAACCCACCCAACATCCACCTGCTATATATATGTTGCTTTCACTTCTAGAAGTTGTGCCTAAAAGAACCTATAACCTGTTCAAGACAAGTGACCACAGCAGTAGAGAAACTTAAGCCCTGCCGTGTGAGTAAAATATACTAGGGATCAAGGTAAGACAATAGTTGCTTTAAATTATGCAAAAGGCTTTGATGTGGAAGAATTGGTTTGTGTATACAACTCCAAGGAGAACAGGAACCGACAGTAGCAATAATAAGAGCAACAATACATTTTATTTTATTTTTTCTCAGTGCCAGATACTATGCTAAGTGCACTATATTCATTACCCCATTTAACTGTTAATCTGAATATTAATGAGTGATAGTTACCAAGAAACAGATTTAAAGCCAACACACAGAAGAATATTCTAACAACTGGAGTCACCCAGAGGTGAAATAGGCAGCACTGGAAGATGTCAAACATCCTGTGATTGGATGTGACCAATTATGTGCTGGAAAACCCTAGGCAAGGGGATGCTGTTGAGAGAATTCAAGCATCAGATGGTTAGTTGAGTTAGATCCTACTTCATCTCCCTTCTAGGACTCCCTGGAATAAAAAAGAAGATATAAACAAGGAAGGGCTAACAAATGCTTTTAAATGAATGAAACAGACTAGGAGAAATAAAAATGTGTTTCAAAGAAAACGAGATGGCATTAATAGAAATCAAGACATTTTCGGTAACAGAAGAAATCCTCATCTGTCTGAGATGATTTCTTTCTGATCCCTCATGATGACAAAAGTGATGGGGCAAATGAGTTCTGGGGGCCATGTGCATCCTCCCAGTTTTGTGGAAAAACTTCTGGTGGGGTGCTGGCTTCTCTGCATCCTTTCAGGATTTGGCAGCTCCCAGATTCTAGAATCCTGCAGAAGGGAAGCCTCTAAAGCCCCATGGTTTCTAATCACTTCAAGCTGCTATTCCTCTTGTTGTGATTAAAAATGTGCACATGTCAAAATGGCCTCAGTTACTCTACTAGGCAACAGCCTCATGTTCTTGGAAAGGACTTGGATAGTCCAAAAACCTCCCAGCAGCAAAGAAAACTTTGGGGAAATGAATAAATCGGGACTCTTCAAAATGGTATGGGTGTGCCCGCTTCGGCAGCTCACATACTAAAATTGGAACGATACAGAGAAGATTGGCATGGGCCCTGCACGAAGATGCCACACAAATTCATGAAGCGTTCTATAAGGAGAGGAAAACTGTAGTGGGAGTATTTTGGATATTTAAGAAAAGACGTGATGGTGTCAAATTTCAGAAAACCATCTCCAATGCCCTTCTGTGCGCTTCTTCCCTTTTGTGCTTTCTTTAGCCTAAAGGGGCAATTGGATACACTCTCTAAGAGATGTTCCCCATAAGAGAGAGAAAGAAGGGAAGAAAAGGAACTTGAGAGGGCGGAGTGGAATACGGACAGGAAGGAGAGAGAGAAAAAGAGAGGTTCATTCACAGACAGATGCAAGGGGTGTGCGGTTAGGCCCCTTAAAGATAATAGGGGCTAATGGAGTGATTATACTTAGACAATAGGAATGTGGCAGCCAGTTCTACACGAAGCAGCTCGGAAGACAAAGCAGAGGACACACCGTCAACTGTCACCAAACTTTGCTTCCTGCCTTCACTCAGAAACAGAAGAGGGGAAGGAGAGTTCATATCAGAAGTTAACATCAAAGAGCCTCCTAGACCACCGTTTTTTACCAACTATTCCAGCACAGGACCTACCACCTTTTCACCAGGAAATGCAGTGTGCTGGCCTGAGGTTCTGTCCTAAGAAGGCAGAATGCCCATTTGCTAAATGATGTTTCTGGAAGAAAGTCTGCCCTTGAGAAGCAGCCAGAGATGTGTGAAAATTCAATACAGGCAGGAATCCTTTCAAAGCAGTTTTTTGGAGATCCCTTGCATAAAGCAGGTTTTTCCCTCCATGTAAACAACAACAATTTGTTTTACTTTGATAAGTCCTCCTGAATAATGATTCCATCACTAAACATCTGGCTTCTTCCTAGCAGATTAGGCCTCCAATGAGGAAAGTGTGTTTATAATTCTAATTCGAAACACAGCACATTAATATGCTGATTCTCATAATGTTTGCCTTAACCTGTTTGGAGAAATTATGACTACAAATATCTTGTACACAACACCTCTAACTACCAGCTTGTACAAACAACATGAGAGCCAGAGCGCCTCACCCAGACGATTGGAACCACTTCAGAGGCGATCATGATTAGTTCTTTGGCTGGAAGCCATATTTTACACATAAACTCAGCATCTGTCTCTGAGGTGTTGTCCCAGGCTAACAGACCCACCTCCATGTTACTAATAAGCACATCCGAGAGAGCCAGATGGTCTGTCGGGAAGAGCTCCGCCTTTTCCTGAGCTAGGCACACTGGAGGGAGGGAGCCCAAGCAGGCTCCAAGTCGTATTTCCTGGGGCTCCAGGTTCCTGCAATGCTGTGTGCAAATAGGCACCACTAAAAAAGAATGTAAATGAAGATGCTATTCATTATTTACGGCTGGCACTTTGCCATCCCCTCCTCCTCTGGGCAATGCCTGCCTGTAAGAACAGGAAAAACATCTGACGAGAGCTGGGCAACCCCGGAGGAGTGGAGCTGTTGAGCCACAGTTTCTCTCCTTCTGCCGAGGATCCTGCAGGCTCAGCACTTCTGGCCCTCCGAACAGCTGAGCTTCTCACTTCCGCACAAAGCACCAGTTCCTCAGCCTCCACGTTTATACCAAGGGTGTTGATTTACAACCTAACCTAAAAAAGCAGACTTGCTGCTCAATCTCATTCATAGCCAAGTCCTTTGCCCCATGCCTGGGTACAAGAAAAGAGGGCAGAAAGGATCAGTTCTATATAGGGGAGAGTCTTCCAAGCCAGTTCTAACCTAAACTGGCCAGAAGTTGCATCAAAAGAATGGCTCCTTTCTTTTGGGTGAGTGCCTATCAATCTTATGCTGTATGACTTAAATAGTTCAGAAGACTACATTATCTTTTGCTAACTGATTTTAAGTAACATGACAGCATGGATCATACATTATACTTATTCTGAATTTTTCCAAAGCACCAACCTAACACAATGCCCAGAAGATCATTATTAAACTCTTCAACATGGTCAATTGTTTAAGTAAAAATTTTGCTTGATATAAAATGCGTAACTTGACATTTTGAAGAATCGAATTTACCTCAGCACAAATTGCAAAAACTAAAGATTGCTGTTGCTAGGGACTGACACAGAGAAGCTCCATCGAACCATCATATTCCTTTTCAATCCCATCTGAAAGTCTTTTCCTTTCAGTGATATCATTCCAACTGTTACAAAAAAATTAAACAGAGTAACGGGCATGCCTGTATACTCGAGGTCATGTGCCCAAGGAAGAGAATGACAAGGCATCTATTAGTGTCTAAGGCGGAAATGAAGCAATTTCCCCAAAATAAGGTGTTCCCAAAAAAGGGCCAGGCCAAGAAAACACATATTCTCTAAGCTGCTTTAACTTTTTTTCTTCTATTCAAGGCTATGTTATTTTTTTATCATTTCAGATATTTGTGGCAACAAACAAGACCACTAGTTTGACTCCTGAAAGTGTTTACAGTCTTTCCTCAACCTTTCAGAAGGTGAGAATGTTTGCCATCCCATCTAATAACATATTTCTAACATGATTTGATTGCTGTTTCTACCACAATCAAAATTATACAAAGAATTTGAAAAGGCAATTGGCTCTACCACATCCTTCCCTCCACTCCAATAAAACACTTACTATTTATTTTAGTATTTTCCTTCATATATCTGGTATAAGGTATAAGCTTTTTGCTTTGGTTTTCTTAGTCTTAGGCATTGCCTACTGACTTTCCCTACTGAAAACAGGTATCTC